AGGAATAAAAAATGAGAAAAGGGGTAGAATATAGAAAATACTTGGTGTTTTGGTGGAACATCATGAGTCTTGTGTGTCTGGACTTTTGTCTTATTGGAGCGGTAGTCGGAGGATGAAGTAAAACAAGAAGTTTGGGGCAAAATATGGAGGTCCTTGAATGTGATTCTATGAAATTTATAGTTTATCATGTAGGCTATAGGAATCCATTGTTGTTTATATTCCTTCTACAGACAATATTTTAAGTTCATTTGAAATTGAGATAAAAATATAAAATCTTCCAGAGCTATGGTCTTTCTTTTTCTAACTTTTCTTCCAGCCCTTGCCCATAGGCATGCATACTTTTTATATAGTTGTAATTTTTATATACATTTTATGATATATATGGAAGCTTACATGAGCAGTGAACTAAGTGTAGGAAGACCTGTCAGGACCCTCTTGTCTTAGTGCTGCTGAGAAATGATGAAGGTTTATGGCAAGTCAGCAGTGAGAAGGGAGATGGACCAAGAGAAGAGAGTAAGACTTAACCTGAGCTCTCCTGAATTCCAGCTGATACTGGAATGCATTTCATCAAGGTTCCATTACTGATTATTTTTCCAAAAATAGGCATCAATCAAATCATTTCAAATTTGGGTCACTTGTTATGGTGACAGTTTGAAATAATCCATCAGTTTCTCTGCTTGCATTCAGAATAGTATTTATCAAGCCTTCAGTCAGCCCCTTTAGCTAATTAACCTCTTGATATGAATTTTGCAATCAAGGCCTAATTAGAGCTTTCTTCCTTTTTCCATATGTTTTGTGCACCGTAGGAGAAGCTTCAGGGATTTATGTGAAAAGTATAATACCTGGCAGCGCTGCATACCACAATGGTCAAATTCAAGTGAATGACCAAATAGTTGCTGTAAGTAACTGCCCTCTGTTTTAGAATTGAATCAAGTTGGGGGAAAAAGTTATCATTATTATAATATATATGCAATGGGAATGGCTTAATATAGTCTCATAATGTTTTTAAAAAATTAAGTTTGTTAGTGCAGTGAAATCTCATTAATTTGGACTCTCATGGTCCTAAATGTTTTTTAATTAAAAAGAAATTTTTTAAAATTGAAATATAAGTTGATTTACAACATTGTGCTAATCTCTGCCGTACAGTAAAGTGACTCAGTTTTACACATATATACCTTCATTTTTTAGTATTCTTTTCCATTATGGTTTATCCCAGGAGTTTGGATAGAGTTCCCTGTGCCATGCAGCAGGACCTTGTTGTTTGTCCATTCTATTTTTTTTTTTTTAACTGCCTCTGAAGAAAGGAGTCACTAATGATATTGGCAGGAAAAAAAATACTGTATACATATGTATATTATAGTATACATACACATATATTTGAAAGATGCTCTAGCATTCTCTTACGAATCAATTCAAGCACCTCTTTGTGTTCTTTAAATTCATCAGTTTTATATGTAATTAATAGGCCGTTTACTAGAACTATTTATCTCTTTGTGAAAGTAGTTTTTCTATTAATAGTAATTTTGAGTACATACAAAATTGAGATATTTTTCGTTTTTGAGAATGCAATCATTGCCTTTTATCAATTCGGATTGTAATTGGTATTTCCTCTGTTTAGTAGAAATTAGTTAAATTTTGCAGTTTATTTTCTTTTTCTTTTATAAATTTATTTTATTTATTTTATTTTTGACTTCATTGGGTCTTCGTTGCTGTGCACGGGCTTTTCTCTGGTTGCGGCCAGCAGGGGCTACTCTTTGTTGCGGTGTGTGGGCTTCTCATTGTGGTGGCTTCTCTTGTTGTGGAGCATGGGCTCTAGGCGTGTGGGCTTCAGTAGCTGTGGCTCGCAAGCTCAGTAGTTGTGGCGCGCAGGCTCTAGAGTGCAGGCTCAGTAGTTGTGGTGCATGGGCTTAGTTGCTCTGCGGCATGTGGCATCTTCCTGGACCAGGGCTCGAACCCGTGTCCCCTGCATTGGTAGGCGGATTCTTAAGCACTGCACCAGCAGGGAAGCCCTACAGTTTATTTTCATAATAATTTTGAAGCCATGTATACACACACATACACACACATTTAATTTATTGATTTATACAGAAACAAATGTTTGTTGGTATAATTTGAATGTTTGTCCTTCAAGTCCATCTAAGGAAGCACCTTTCATGACCCTTGGCTTTTCCATTATTGGGCTTAGGAAATGTCTTGTGATTGGCAGTTTGGAGATGAGTGATGCAACTTTGGAGAAGATATTAGGGGGAAAGCTATAGCAGTGGTTCGGCTAGCTTGAAGAAGATTGAGCGAGGAGGCCTGTTGGTCATGATGGACTTAATAAGAATGTGTGATTGGACTTGACTGAGATTAGTAAATACCTTTCTTGCATGCTTTTTCAGAATACTAGAAAACCTAGTGGAGGGAGATCAGTTTCTTCTGGAAAATATCACATAATGATATATGGTAGAGGGGTGAAGTATTGGATGGCCTCTTCAATTTTACTAATAATGGCTTCTAGTAATACGTCTTGAGAGCTCTGTATAACAACTGACCACCTTTTATGGCACTTTGAATTTTGAATAGCATCAGAGATTAAGACCCTCTACCTTTCTCAGGCTATAAGTTAAATGTATGACTTAGGAATACAAGTTTCAGTTTGCTTTCTAGTTTCTCAGAAAATTTGTCAGCATGTTTTACTACTAATTTTTCATCCTTATTCACAAATACTTTCTTAGGTCTAGTACAAATTATTTTGGGGATGAAATGAATTGCCTAATTTTATACTGCCTTGCCAGAATTAAAAGTGGTAGCTAACTTGGAACTTCTGTTTAATGTATCTTTTAATGTTTTAGGTCGATGGTGTGAATATTCAGGGTTTTGCCAACCAGGATGTTGTTGAAGTGTTAAGAAATGCAGGGCAAGCGGTACACCTAACCCTAGTTCGAAGGAAAACATCCTCATCTGCTTCTCCACATGAAGGGCCCTCTGACAGAGGTAATTAATTCCTCTGTCCCTCCCCCTACCTTGTCTGGGTTTGGAAGATCAGCTCATTTATGGAAGTTGTTCTATAAGTCTGGGAAGGAAAAACTGCCCAGCTTGTGAAAAGCAGCAGTCAGTGGAGAAGTGAATCAATTCATTTATGCCTTGAAGCGTTTCCTTTGCCTATTATAACGTGCCAGTCCAAATGTTAGAATGTGAACACTGACATGCATTAAGCTCTGAGAGCTTCTCTAAATGGAGATGGAAATCATTTTCCCCAAAACCTTCCAAATTTCATTTATTTCTTATATTTGAATAATAAAGCTTTGCCACATTTTGTTCCAGGGGCTCTCAGTTGTCTAATGCTTTGACATTTTGCAAGCTTCAGGTTTCATATTACCTCTAATGATGTATTTGATTCTAATATTTCTTGATTTACTTTGTGAACTATAGCAAGAGCAAATAAAATATGGATTTCTATTAAGGACACTTTTATTTATGAAATAATATTTGTTACTTTGATTATAAGAATAGTAAATTTTCATTATGGAACAAATGCATAATTGTATGCATGACAATTTTTAATTATCAACTTATAAATGTAGATAGATCAACAAAATTTGGCAATCATGGGAACACATTCAATTTAAAATGAATGACTGGGGCTTCCCTGGTGGCGCAGTGGTTAAGAATCTGCCTGCCAATGCAGGGGACATGGGTTCGAGCCCTGGTCCGGGAATATCCCACATGCCACGGAGCGGCTGGGCCCGTGTGCCACAACTACTGAGCCTGCACTCTAGAGCCCTTGAGCCACGATTACTGATCCCACGTGCCACAACTACTGAGGCCTGCGCACCTGGAGCCTGTGCTCTGCTCCACAACAAGAGAAGCCACCTTAATGAGAGGCCTGCACACCTTAATGAGAAGTGAAGAGTAGCTCCCGCTCACCACAACTAAAAAGAAAGCCCATGCACAGCAATGAGGACCCAACACAGCCAAAAATAAATAAATAAATTCATTAAAAAAAAAAAAAAAAGAATGACTGGCAGGTCTGGGGCCCCGCCCCTTACACTTCTCAGGCCTGACCTTCTGGCAGCCGGGCTGCACTCTGAGCCGACATTGACAGGTCCTCGGGATGTGGCCAGACGTGCCCCCTCTCGTGAAATCATGGTGGCGTACTGGTGACAAGCTGGACTCAGCTACATCCGATACTCCCAGATCTGTACAAAAGCAGTGAGGGATGCATTGAAGACAGGATTCAAAGCAAATGCCAAGAAGACTTCTGGCAGCAGCATGAAAATTGTGAAAGCGTAAAAGGAATAATTTACCCTGACTACAGCTTGAAATGCTGCATGTTCAAGGTGAAGATGTGTGGGCACGTGTTATGGCAGATTGAAAACGACCTCCCTTCATGGAAAGAAAAAAAAAAACGTGTCTTGTTCATAGATTGACAATGCCAATAAATTAAAGTACGGTTCAAAAAAAAAATAAAATGAATGACTAATTATATAACTAGTGGGTAAGAAATAATTCCATTAGAATTTGTCAAACGTTGAGTACATATTTTTTCCCCTCCTCTGAAGATATAATGAGCCTAGAAATGTTTGCTTTCAACTGATATTAAATTGTATTTACATTGGAACATTTTTTTAAATTTTATTTTTCATTTATTTATTTATTTGGTTGCACAGGGTCTTAGTTGCGGCAGGTGGGCTCCTCAGTTGCAGCTCGTGGGCTCCTTAGTTATGGCTCATTGGTTCCTTAGCTGTGGTATGTGAACTCTTAGTCGCGGCATTCATGTGGGATCTAGTTCCCCAACCAGGGATCAAACCCGGGCCCCCTGCATTGGGAGCATGGAGTCTTAACCACTGCGCCACCAGGGAAGTCCCTACGTTGGAACTTTTTAAGTTTTATGTGGTAGTGGAAATTCTGCTGCTGAAAGATAGATGCCCTGTCAACTGCATTGTGTGTATGAAATTTAAAATTGCCTAAATAGTACAGAATGTACAAATGCTGTATTGACCTTAAAGGTTTACATAAATATTTATACCATTATAATGGTTTTTAGTAGCTCTGATAGAGCCTTTGGCTTTAGTCTGCTGTATCAAATGAACTGTGTCATCTGCGAATTAGCAATTCTTTACTGGGCGTGCCTGCATTTTAAACTGGTATTGGGATAGGTTTTAACTCTAAATCTGCACTTCTTCCATGGTTTGGGTGTCCTTCCTGTGTGTTTCACTAGCACCCTTTGAAGAGCACGCTACTGTTTCATTTTTCACACCCGTGTTGTAATCACCTGTTTTGTGTGTGGCCACTATAATGTAGGGGAGTGGTTATGCCTGTGTCCCCTGCCCCATTGAACACATCTCTGTGTGCCTTGCTCATAGTCAGCATTTAAGTTTGTTTTACTGAAACAAACTGCATGGCTTCTAGCTCTTGTGCAGTACCTTCCTCTGCCATTCAAAATCTTACTGTCTTTTTCTCCTCTAAACTCTTATTTGCATACCTTGTATATACTTAATTTGTGTACCAATTTGTATACTACTTGTAGCGTACAACCAATCATGTATTGCTTTGTACTCTGCACACTGTTTGGTGTGTAACTCTTCTCCCCAAGCTACAGTAGCAGCTTCTGGCTGGCATTTGTTTTGCTGGCACTGGGCTGTGCATTTAGTGTGTATCAAGAGACTAATGTTCTAAAAAATCCTGTGTGGTTTAAAATGTCATGTTAAGATCATAGGAACTTTTAACTGGTTATATTTTTAAACTTTTTATTTAAAAAATTTTTGAACATACAGGAAAATTGAAAACATGTAACAGATACCCACAAACCCACCATTTAGATTCAGCAGTTAACATTTTGCCATGTTTGCATCATCTGTGTACCTTTTTCTGAACCATTTAAGAGTGAGTAGTAGATATCATGACAATTTAGCCCTACATACTTCAGTTATAGCTTCTAAAAATAGTCATATCATTATCACACCAAAGAAAATTAATAGTAAGTCCCTGATATCAAATACCCAACACATACTTAAATTTTCCCAATTGCTCCCAAATGTCTTTTGTAGCTCCTTTTTCCACTTCCCTTTCTTCCCCTCAAAAGCCTCATAAAATCAAGATCATTGATTTTTATGCATTGAGCCTATTGCATTGTATGATGCTTCTTTGGTTTCTTAAGGTAGGAGAATCCCTTGCGCCTGCCTCCGTGGCATAGACTTTTTGAAGGGATTTGGCCATTTGTCACTAGAATGGTACATTCAGAATTTGATTGTTTCCTTGTGGTGTCATTTGACTTGTTCCTCTATCCCCTATGTTTCTTGTGAGCTAGGAGCTAGAGCCTTAAATTCAGGTTCAATATTTTTGATAAGAATGCTTTATAAGTTACATGTGGTTATTTAAAAGTAACCTAAAATGATTCTTGTTCAACCTTTCTTGTGTTTAAGAGATACATAGTGACTGGCATGCTTGAGATTGAATGCTTACTTAACTCAATTTAGCTAAGGAAGGAAACTCTGCAACCAGGGGAAGACTCTCCCCTTTCCTTCCCATTCACAAGGTTACTTATGTAGAGCTGTTTGTGAAACTCATGATGATGTCACGCCAGAACCTAGGATTGCCCAGAGCGACGGAACCGGCTTCTTCTGCGTATCTTGCCCCCGGCCCACCACAGCAGCAAGAACATATGGCCCCCAGTGTTCTCCTCCTCCCCCACCCCCCCAGGCTCTACTGAAAAGCATCTCCTCCTGCTTTGTCATTGACTTTACCTTGCTTTTCTCTTGCCGTTGCCTAGTTCCTTGTTCTTTTCAATACTACTACAAGTGTAATTTTTAATGAATTGAGTGGTCATCACAAGTGGCATTTTAAATAAAGGAATCATATGTGTAAATTACCTGAAAAGTTTATAAGGAGGTTGTGAAATGGGACAATAGAGTGGAATAAGCTTACTTAAATAATATGGCCTTCATCTGATAGTGATTCAAATGAACAATTCTTATTTTAGGAACTGTGGTAGAACCACCGAAAACCCCAGCCCTCTTTCTGACTGGAGCAGTGGAAAAGGAAACTAATTTCAGTGAAGATGAGGAAACTGAAGAAAGAATGGATAATCTAAAAAATGACAATATACAAGCCTTAGAAAAACTGGGTAGGCACGAAGCATTCAATTCAAAGCTTTCTCTCTTTATAGTTCATATAATATGAGGAATTTTAGAGGCATTTTTAGAGATATAAAATAAGATATTCTTAATATCAACATCTTAACACTTGTGGCAGTTGAGAATCGAGCATACTGTTGTTTAATCATTGTTTAATTATGTTGATTTTTTTTTTTTTTTTTTTTTTTTTTTTTGCGGTACGCGGGCCTCTCACTGTTGTGGCCTCTCCCGTTGCGGAGCACAGGCTCTGGACGTGCAGGCTCAGTGGCCATGGCTCACGGGCCCAGCCGCTCCACAGCATGTGGGATCCTCCTGGACTGGGGCATGAACCCGAGTCCCCTGCCTTGGCAGGTGGACTCTCAATCACTGCACCACCAGGGAAGCCCAATTATGTTGATTTTGAATACATTTTATTAGTGTGATAACTTTTAATCTTGTCGGCATTTTTAATTACTGCATACTTTAGCTTGTATTATTATCATCGATATAGCCATAGATGTACAGCTGTCTGTATACATATAGCAGTATTTCCTTTTCACCGTAACAATAATGTATACATTTTTATATATTTCATCAAATTTCCAGGTTGCTATATATTTATTGTTTAATTTTCTTTTTAATTGATGTGCAGCTTTGTCCTTGTGCTTTGTTCTTTGATACCTTGTCTACTCTAGTTGACTGTATTCTGTAAGCATGTTGAGTAACAGTCTCACACAGTTTCCTGTACAAAGGCACTCAGGGAAGGCTTGCCAGTTGGATGAAATGGACTTAAACTTCATCCATGTCCATGTTGGCTTTTGGCTTTGATTGCCTTCTCTTGGGAAAGAATGGCCTGAAGGAAGGAGTAAACCCCTTATTCAAGTTTTAAAATTTCCTATAGTTTGGAAATTTAACTTGTTCTTTCTGACCCAAGTAGATTGCAGTTAATTTTTGCTCTTTAAATTCATGTGAACCCAGAGAGATGTACAGTGAACTATCAGGTGAAAATCAAATACATTCTAAAGTTAGAAACAGTTTTAGAAATATCTGCTCTTTTTGGATCAACCTCACTACCTTTTTTTTTTTTTCATGAGTATGTATAATTTCAGCTAGAGAGACCAAGTTCTTCCAGCTGTTAAGAAGTTAACTCTCTTTTTTGCTGTAGGGGCAGAATTGTTTTCCCTTCTTCTCGTCTAGTTATTTTGGCTGGTCTAATAATTAAATCGACATAAGACTGATTAACACAGGAGAAAAACTGATTTCCTATGTGTAAGAGTCCCATAAAAATATTAGCCCCAAGGGCAAGTTGGGCAATTGAAGCTTCTGTGCTATCCTGAGTTAAGGAATGGGATAGGGGCCTGGGCCTTCCAGTGGGAGGCCTTCCAGTGGGAGGAGAGTAATTTACAGGATGATAAGAAGAGCAGATGTTTGGTAATGAGATGTTTGTGCAGCCATGCAGATACGTCTTTCAAATAAGAAAGTTATCTCTGGTAATAACTGTCTTTCTGGTACAGGTTCCCTATCTAAATTCTTTTAGGTAGTTAAGGGAGAGGTGAAAGTCTTTCCTGAGTCTGCAGGGTCTTCATTGCCTTCAGCTGAAAATAATCCACATGCCAAAGTGGCAGTATTTGGGAGTGGCATATTCTGCTCCCCTTCATTGCCACTGGAATAATCGTTTCAGAGCATCATAATATTCATTTTTGTGCGTGACCATTTTGTGTAGCCAAGGATTTATTGAGCTGCTTAAAATAAGTCTCTTTCCTCTGGTACTTAGGCCTTTGTGCTGTGCTTTAAAACTCATGACTGTGATTTCATTGTATGACTGAAAGGTAAAAATATAGTCAAAAGAATTGTAGGTGAAATATCGACATTATTTTATATGTGTATAAAATATCTTTAAATATCATGTTTTTATGCCTACAGTTCAACCAATACATGGCAAATTTTTTTCAAATTAGCCTACCACATAGGAAACTGCTGCCTGTAAGAAATTTAATAGAACTCTTAATGTAATTTCTTATGGAAATGTTAACAGAGTAGGAACAAAGGTGCAGAGCCTACATGAATGATATTTTGTTTTTAATAGGATCTTTAGTTATCCCCGAAATGTAATCTAGCATATCATTTAATATAGTTACTTTATGGATATGCTTTTGTAAATCTAGTAATTTTAAGTTCTTTCGTGTTCATTAGTCTTAGTCTCTGATTTTTGAGGTTAGCCTGTTTTACTTAATGATTTGTATTACGTAATTAAGCATGATATGCATCCGAGATTAGATGTCTGCTAAAGGCTTGAAAAAACTGATAGTGCAAGTTATGTTTGATTTTAGGCAGATGGTTATATCAGTTGTGGTGTTTTGCGACTTGTCCAATCTTGTGACAAAATTGAGTTTTTCTTAAAGAAAAAAGGTGGAGGTTTGTTTATTTTCTGCTGCTACTGTGGATCTAAATTGAAATTACAGTTTTAGTACTTTGATTTTTGCCTATTAGGCATCATTCAGACTACAGACTGCACAGAGTTTCTGGCTAAGATCATACGGAGGACAGGCAGGACAATTAAAATCTGTGCTCTTTAAAATCATCTGACCCATGCAAAAAAGGCAATATTACCCTTAAGTAAGAAAGTTATAAAGATATGATAACCACGTAGCCACAAAAGACCAAAGTAAAACAAAATTTCTATTATATTAAAGCTCATGCAACTCACTGGTTGAATTAAACCAGAAAAACTTTTATATGTGCCCAAGTGAAAAGTTTGCTTGGGTCATGTTGATATGCCTTGTTTATAGTAAAGATATTTTGATGAGTTTTTATTTTTCTTATGGGTGAGTGGAAGGTGCTACTCTGAAGTGATTAACGTTCACCTTAAATCCTTGTTTGTCCTAACATAGCATAAACCAAAGCCAGATGCATTTTACTTGTAAGCCACAGGATGTTTGTATACAAACTATATAATTCAAATTTCATTTATAACTCATCATTTCCTCTTCCCTTTAAAATATTCCTTAACAGCAAAAGCCCCTTCATAATTTGGTCACAGACCAAATTTACATTTTACATTTTTACATTAGTAAAATGTAAAATTTTACATTAGTCTTACAAGTCACCTCTGCTTTACTTTACCTAATAGACCTAAGTTAACGCACTTTCCTTTTTATTTATTTCCCTTTTACTTACTGAAGCTGTGCTGTTATGGAAGAATTTAGTAGTTTAGTGTGTTTAGCTCACAGTAGTTTCAATGTTTTGTTTATTTATTTTTTTAATCCAGAAGGAGTCCCAGCCTCTTTAGAAAATGAGCTGAAATCCAGATGGGAAAACCTACTGGGCCCTGATTATGAAGTAATGGTATGTTAAAATCTTTTAATAAAAAACACTCATGTCTCATCTCATGTCAATGAAATGTAGCTCTGAATGCTACAATTGAAAGAAATGGGAGAGTCAAAGAATAGCTGTCCTGACCTTTATTTTTTCCTCCTGTGTTTCTTCTGTACTGGATCAATTAATTTTTTTTTTTTTTTTTTCATTTTAAGCTGCAAGGACAGTTAAGGACTGCAGATAAGTTTCAGTTACAATTAGCAGACACTCAGTTCATGTGGAAACAGTTTAAGTCAACAATAGGCAGAAAAATGTTAGGAGAGAAAGGTCTTGCCTTTAAATTTATAACCTGTATCAGCTGCTTAAAATTGCTGGCATTTTTATGATTGCTTTTATGATCTGTTTGTTTTATTATACACTGAAAGGGCTGTGGATATTAGTCCTGTGTTTCACAAAGAATCTTACAGTTTTATGAGAAAAATGAAAGAATGATTATCAAATGTATTTGGGAGAACAGGAAGTAATTTAGGTTAGGTATAAGTTTATATGCCAGTGGTCCATTAGGCTTCCTTTCACCTGTTATTAGATTCACTGAGTAAGGGATTGATTACATTTCCCCATATGAATCCACATGAAAACAGAAAGCTGCACTTAGAAAAGCCTCTACAGTGTTCACTAAATGTGTTAGTAATAAAGTATTCTATTAAATTTCTTTTGTCTTTCACGTTTTCTTACATATGTTTGTCATTAGTACTTGTTGGCTGGTTGGAGATTATTTTTTCTCTTCTAGCCACTATCTATTGTTAGACATTTTCCAGTGTCATTAAGATGAGTCAAAACAGTCCATACTTCCTCTTCTTACTTGTTTTGTACTTGCATGTCGGTCCTCATGAACTGCTGCTTCTTTACTTCATAGATTTCAAAGCTGTTTTTTCATTAGGTTATCACCTAGCAAGTGACCTTTTCTGCTCTCCTGAGTGGTTGATATTTAAAGTAGTTTGGTGTACCAGTATTTTTAAATGGTCTGTTTTGCGATGATCTCTTTTCGGTTAAAAATTTATCCTCTTTATAACCACCTTTCCAAATTTTATTTATCATGTGGTGAGGTCATAACAGAGGGGCTAGAAAGAGGAGACAGAATTTGAAGTTGGAAATTTAAAGTGACAGTTAAGAGTTGTAACATGTTCTGAGGGACGAGGCGACAAAAGGAGAAGCCAGGCAAGACGGATGAATGAATGCATACATGCAAATATGCGTATATACATTGATGCATGTGCTCCAGTGTTTCTTACTTTATTTTCTTCCAGAATCTACTTATCTGAAGTGCAGTACTTTTAGAAGCCTTAGTTGGCCCACTGTTTAACTTATCCCCTCCCTCCAGATGCACCATATTCTATTAACAACTTACAGATGCATATCATCAGTGCAGTATTTTGCTTGCACGGAATTCACTTCTGTGGATGTCCACCATTGAAGCTCAGGACAATAGTTTTAGGCCAGGATTAAAAGCTTTCAGTATTCCACGATCTTTCCACCAGTCCAGGTCTTTTGTTTGTGTCCTTGCCAGCTCTTTCTCCTAGGGAAATGGTTTGAGCTTGCTGTAGAAAGTCAGATGCTTCAGTTTCTCCAAACTTGTCTGATTTTTCTGACCTTGAAAACTTTGTTTCAAGGCCTGGGTTTAGAAGTAAAAATGACCATACTCTTGGTTTTGCCAAAAGAATAAATTTTTTATGGCTTTAATACAATGGAGGATTATATTAAAATTTTAGGGGTCATGGATTTTTAAAAATAGTACATGTATTTGCCCATCACCTTCTAGTTCAACTTTTGCATAATTTATGAAAAAAGATTGCTGTGGAGAACAATAACAACAAAAAAGCGAATATACTCTGAAATTTTACATTATGTGTTATGGATTTCAGAAACGTGGAAGAGTTTAGATGGAGTTATCAATGTATAGGTTTTATACAGATTTTTTTCAGAAAGCCTAGGAAGAAATAAAGTTATGCTTTTACAAATATTGGAAATATTTTTTCTTGTGAATTTAGATTGCTACTTTGGACACACAGATTGCAGACGATGCTGAGTTACAGAAATATTCAAAGGTAAGCATTATTTTTATGTTTTATAATTTTGTTTATTTATTCTTGGCTGCGTTGGGTCTTTGTTGCTGCGCGCGGGCTTCTCGTTGCAGCGAGTGGGGGCTACTCTTCCTTGTGCTGCGCATGCTTCTGATTGCAGTGGTTTTTCTTGCTGTGGAGCATGGGCTCTAGGCGCACGGGCTTCAGTAGTTGTGGCACCTGAGCTCAGTAGTTGTAGCTCGTGGGCTCTAGAGAACAGGCTCAGTAGTTGTGGCACATGGGCTTAGTTGCTCTGAAGCACGTGGTATCTTCCTGGACCAGGGCCCCAACCTGTGTCCCCTGCATTGGCAGGTGGATCCTTAACCACTGCGCCACCAGGGAAGTCCCTATTTTTTAAACTGTTGCCAGTTTTTTGTTGTTTGAAGAACTTTCTCTAAGTTCTTGTCAAAGAAACTAGATTAGTGCTGTGATCTAAAGTTTTCAGAATTTAGTTTTAGAGGTTTTCTGGAAATGTAGTAGGTTCTGACTGTTATGAAGCGTGATGGTTAGATATGCCTGGGAAGAACGTGGGCCACTTCCAGAAGCCAAAATCCCTGGTGTGACTGCTTTGCCCACCTTAATGGTAGTATGCAGAGTGGCCTTGTGCAGAGCGTGTTAGCTTTTCAGATATTGTAAGTCCTTTTAAAATGTTTCCTAAAATTCAAGACCATGATACAGACTTAAAGAAAAAAATCTTCCCAGTCCAGATGTTTAAGAACAAAAAAGTGGCTTATCTTTTGAGATAGGCAGTGCTTTTTCTTGGACTTAAAAAATTTTGTATTGAGACCTTTATTTCTAATGGCAAAATGCCAGAAGGTAACTTTTACAGTTTTTCCTAACATTTTTGGTGACCTCTCACTGCAAATTAATTTCATAGTCCCCACTCTGGATAATCAAAGGCCAGGGTAATTGAAACTTAGAGAAGCCTTCCAGGTGGCTTTCTCAATAAATGATGAGAAACGAAAGGTTTTCTTGTCCGAATAGTTTCAAAAATTATACTGTAATCCCACCTGAGGTATATGAGCTAAGAGCCCAGCTTAAACTCTGCTGTCATATGCAGTATTCAGAATGAGTTTTCTGGGTCCCATGTGGGTTTTGTAAGAAGTTATCTCTTTAGATAGTTCTACCATTTCCTTCTTTGGGTATTTGTGATGAATATTTCCCTTCTAAAATTTTATGTTACATGTGCTGTTATTTTTAGGTTGGAATTTTCACAGCCGATGCTGTGGAGCGTATTTCTTTCCTTGTAAGCTAGCCTGCATTTGGAGTCACTTCCTTGCTGGGCTCTGGGGGCCAACTGACCAGGCTTTCCTCAGATGTGCAATATGAAAGAACACGCACAGCTTGTACTTAAAATTATTTACAGTATCATATTTAGGTTAGATTAGTCACTGATTACTAATTCCATGTAAATTTGTTGAGAGGAGTTTAATTCAAAATAAGAGTAAGAAATATAAATACCTCATCAAACTTCACATGTTATTAATTACTGCAGTATAGTTTACTGATGACATGGACTCTGGCATCAAACTGCCTGGGTTCAGATTCTGGCTTATCCATTTACTAGCTTGTAAAATTATCTAGACTCTATGTTTCAGTTTTGTTGTCTATAAAAGGAAGATATTAATAGGTTAGTACCTATCTCATGGGTTGTATAGGAATTAAATTTAATGTGCCTAGAGTAGTTGCAAGCACATAGGATATTGTTAATATTTTTACTGTCATTCATAAAAATCAGTGATGCTTTTCCTGAAAATTGTTCTCTAATTTGTACTAAACTCTTAGATAGTAGATATTTTCTATTTACCAGTCTTCCACTTTACTGAATTTCCTGTGCCTAATCTGCCCGTCTATTGAGTCCTTAATTTTAGTTGTTATATTTTTCTATTCTAGAATTTATTTTATCCCTTTTTAGATCATAATTCTTTTGGAGGAATTCTCAATTTAAAAAAATCTGTAGTTGCCATCTTTTTCTCTATTTCTTGAACATATTAATCATAGCTTATAAGGACTTAAAATAATTAATTCCAATATGTGGATCAACTTTAGATGTGTTTCTGTGGTTTGATGTTTTTCTCTCGTTATAGTTATTTGGTTGTATATCTCGTCAATGCCATAATTTGACTGCATGTTCGATATTATGTACGCCAGCTACAAAAGGCGTCAGGTGATGTCATCTCCATCCAGAAGAGTCACTGTTTCTTCTAATAAGGAGATACTCTGTGTGTGTGTGTGTGTGTGTGTGTGTGTGTGTGTTGTGTGTGTATGTATGTGTGTGTGGTACAGGTGGGCGATCATCTCTGAGGCGAGGCAGAAGTACCTTTTGGGTAAGGTTCAGACTCTCTTGTTGCCTTTGCTCCTAACACGTGGCCTTCCAGGTATTCCAGTGAGTCTGCAGTGTTTACCAATCCCTTCTCCCTGGTGGGATCTGGACTCCAGTTCTCTCTTAGTACTTTGGGACTGTAGAAATCTTTGCTTAGCTCTTCAGAGGTTTCCTGAGGAACTTTTAGCCTCCTTGCCCGTTAGAACTCCAGAGACGTCCTTGGAGGAAAACATGCCCTTGCTCAGGCTCAGTTCATCGTGCAGTTCAGCTTTAGCTGTCCTTACATGTTCAAAGCCGTAAGACACTGTATCATCATATTCTATAATGAGAAAAAAGGATCATAACCGCACACGGTTCATCTTAAAGAATGTCATTGTCTTTCTCCAGGCAGAACATGTTCTCTTTCACCTTCATCCCTAGTTCCTTGCCACCAGTCTAACTTTATCTTCTTCCTGATCAGCTTCTATGAATTATGTCTACTTGTACTCAGTTACTCTGGTGTAATGATGTGGAAAGTCTTCGAGTCAGACTTTCAGAACCACCTCAACAGTACATTCAACTGTTCATTCATTCATCAATTATTTATTGATATCTACTCAGTGCCAAGTCCTCTACTGGGTGCTGGGGTTTCAGAAGAGAACAGGAAAAAAAAAATCGCTGTCCTGTAGAACTTACATTTTAGTAGGGGGAGATAAAAAATAAGTAATAATTTCTGTAGTATAGATGATGTGTGCCATGCAGGGAAAATGGGTAAGGAATTCAGGAGAGAGTGTGGGTTTGCAATTTTAGATAGGTTGACCAGGAAGAGCCTCCTTAAGAAGGTAACATTTGAGGAAATACTTTAGGAGGTGAAATAAGCAGCCTAATTTTTCTTCTACATAATAGGAACAATAGTACCTGTGTTGTAGAAGGTTAAATATAAATATGTTTAATACATGCCCTAATTAATATAGATCAATGCCAACATGTAAGAACCGTTTGATAAATGGTGGTTTTGTTTCCCAGTTGTATACTTCTAGTACTTTTAGTCTCTGACCTTCTAACGGCTCCTTTAAAAAAAAAAAAAAGCTATTTTTATGGGCTTCCCTGGTGGCGCAGTGATTGAGAGTCCGCCTGCCAGTGCAGGGGACACAGGTTCGTGCCCCGGTCTGGGAGGGTTCCACCCGTGAGCCATGGCCGCTGAGCCTGCGCGTCCGGGGGTCCGCAACGGGAGAGGCCACAGCAGTGGGAGACCCAAGTACCGCAAAAAAAAAAAAAAAAAAAAGCTATTTTAAAACATTTAATTGAAATTTTGTTGTAGCAAAAGTTTTTTTTATTTTTTGCACTAGAAGAGTCAGCCATAATTGCACTATTCTCTTTTCAGATTTAGTTGTTGCCTGTATAGGTTTACATATCTGTAGTTGGTATACCCATTCTTTTGTGTAACATACATGTCAGAGAAGGGATGTATGCTTTTTCTATGTAAAATTATCACACTTATTTACTCTTTTTTTTTTTTTTTTTTTTTTTGCGGTACGCGCGGGCCTCTCATGGCTCCGGGCGCGCAGGCTCAGCGGCCACGGCTCACGGGCCCAGCCGCTCCACGGCATGTGGGATCTTCCCGGACTGGGGCATGAACCCGTGTCCCCTGCATCGGCAGGAGGACTCTCAACCACTGCGCCACCAGGGAAGCCCCATATTTACTCTTTTGTACGTTGATTTCTTAATTACAAATGTCCACAGATTGATTTTTTGTTGTTGTTGTTTTTTGAGCCATGCTGTGCAGCTTGTGGGAATCTTAGTTCCCCAACCAGGGATTGAACCCGGGTCATGGCAGTGAAAGTGCCGAGTCCTAACCACTGGACTGCACAGATTGATTATTTTGATGAACTATAATTTTTAAAACTCCTCTTAAAATTGGAAGTTTAGTTCTTAATTCAGTAGCTTCTAATTTCTCCCTACAATATGTAAAGAAGACTGGCCTGTCCAAACCCATTTCACACTTGAGGATGCTGAAGTTTGCATAGGTCGAATGAATCACCTTAAATTACACAACTGGATAGTAGCAGAGGCAGCTTGCAGCTTAGAGAGCTTTCTTTCCTTCCTGAAATATTTACATAGCTCCTACTCTATGCCAGACACTGCACTGGCAACTGTGGGAAGCAAAATAGAAAAGGTCCTTGCTCTCCTAGAGTCTGGGTTCTGGGCTTCGGTCAGGGCATGATAATAAACAAGTAAAAAATAACCTGAGAAGATAGTTATAAACTGTAAAAAGTGATGCAAAGAAGTGCTTGTAAGAAGTGATGATGATTCAAGAAGCACAACCAGGGTGATGAGAATAAAACTGGGGGGGGGGGGCACCTTAGAGAGAGAGCTGGGGAAAGCCTTTCCGAGTTTAGGCTTGAAGGATAAGAATGTGGTGTACGGCAGGTACAGGTGGAAGAGAGCTATCCTGTGGGAGGAATGGAAGTTGTTTGTTCAGAGTGTCTCAGTCAAACTAAATGAAGAGTAGGATGTTGTTAGGTGAGGAAGACCAGGTGCTTACAGGGCCTCGAGATCCATGCTGGTAAGCCTGGGTTTTATTCTCAGTGCCAGGTAATACTGGTGGAAGGTTCTAAGCAGGGTAGTGTCATGCTCTTGAGGTCAAGGCTGTAGGGTTTTTGTTTGCCTTAAAATATCTATT